AGTGCTCATTGATCTTTCATCCTCCTGCCAACCTCCAGCAAAATAATAGGAAAGCAAGGTGAGTTTTTAGAGCCATGATGTTGTAAAAAGTCTACCGGGGGACAAGAGGGAATGGATAACTTGGCTAGAGACCATGGTGGGGAAGCCAGATCCTTGAGGAGAGGAGCTGCAGGAGTGAGTGGTGGAGGCCATGACACATGGCTTTGAGTTCAAATCCCAACATCGGGGTGTTTGAAGGGAGAAAAGTGACTAGAGGCATAGACATCCACGCAAGTGCTGGGATGGCTAAGGAGGGAAGGGTGGACCAGGAAGGCTAGAGCAAGGAAAGTAAGGATAAGAAGAAAGGGGGTGGGGCACAGAGGGCGGGCAGGAGAGGACTGAGGGGTGAGTCACCACAGATAATGGTGGCCTCGGAGGGTGATGCTATCACCAGGGTGCGGCCTGGTGGGGAGCGACCCTCAGGGACTTCTGGACACAGCCGGGGAGGGTTGGGAGGAGAGCTGCGGCAGGAGCCTCGCTTCCAGGCTCCCTGGTTGGACGCTGCTTGAAATCACCAAGACGTTTTGAAAATCAAGAACTTATTAAACATGTGAAGGGCCGAGCCAGCCGTGATTGCCAAATCTGTATGACTGATGTTGGAAGAGTCACTTTTCAGCCCTATGGAATCTCGCCTGTCACGGGCAACTCCCAGAGATTATGCAATCACTCCGCTCTTGTTCTTCTTCTCCTGCTCCTTCTTCCTCTTCCCCTTTCCCTCCATCTTCTCCTTCTATTCGTCCTCCTCCTCTTCCATCCCTCTTCCCCCTCCTCCTGCCTTTCCCTCTCCTTCTCCCTCTTCTTCTTTCTCTCCTCTTCTCTTTGCCCTCTAAACCTCGTGGTTTCCTTTGTCTCAGTATCACTCTCCAAGAACTGTAAGCCACACGTCACTTTACCTCAGGGCAGTTTCACTGACTGGCCTGGGGAAGCTGGGGCCGGCTGAGGAAATCTTAGAGATCTTAGCAGCTGGCGTTTCACCTCTGAGGAACTGCGGAGGATGCGGTGGTGGTCCCTGGCCACACGCGCCGTTTCAAGGCAGCATGTGCAGGAGACAGGCAGCCCCTTTCTCTTTCGCTTGGATTCCTCATGCATAAAGCAGTGGCAGGGCCAGGTCGGGAGGTGGGTGGAACTGAGAGTCACGAAATGGCTTGGAAGTCTCCTCACATCGTGGAGGTGGCTTCCTAGAAAGCTGCGTTAACAGGGTTTCTGAGATTGCTCTGTGGCTTTGGTGGGAAAATGCTATCAGGGATTTGAAAGAAGAAGAGCCATTTTCAGGGCATCTTGTGAAAGTCGCTGTCCTAAGTGATGCGTGTGTGAGTTCTCTCACGACTAGCACGCTTCGTGGCTGAGGGTCTCAGAGGGGCTTGCTTACCTTGCATGGCACACTCGCAGGACGGCTAAGAAGCAACACAGGTGCCCTAAGTTTCTAACTTCTTTTTTATATTTATTTATTTATTTACTCAGAACTGGGGATTGAACTCAGATCCTTGCGCTTGCCAGGCAAGCGCTTATTCTATTGAGCCATCTCCCCAGCCCTTATTTTATTTTATTTTTAAGTTTCTAACTTATGCACCAAATAATCTCTAAATTTCTGGGGGCGGGGGCGTGCTCCAAATACCCTGAGAATTTATAAGGAAGTGACCAAAAATTGTGGTGTATACTTAAATAATATTTACGATAGTAAAAGACACATTGCCATTAATCCCACTCGAAATCTCTTCACTTTGAACACACTTATCCCATCATTCTTGCCATTTCTTGAAGCAGTTCTGAAAGGCCTCGTTCGTGAGTGTTTTTCCAGCCTGTGATCAAAACTGCAGTCAATGCCACTGCGGAGGGCCGTGGACAGGCAGGCCACAGTAACAGGACACTGTGTCTCACCCACCTCACTCACTGGACCTGGCACCGTGCAACTTCTCACTTTTCTCCTAGGTCAAAGTGACCACAAAATGAAATGCTTTGAATTGATTCCAAATGTTGAAGCAGCCACAACAGTGCCACTCAATGCATTCAGGAAAGAGAACTGCTGGAAATGTTGCCAGGGGATGGGCAGTCACCAGGCGCCCGGGTGTGGCGGGAAACTGACAGGTTCTCGGTGTAGCAGAGAAGCAGGCAGAAGGAAAAAGGGAAAGGGCTTTATTTCCCCCAAATTCCCTCTATGTCCTCAAAGAAAATAGAGCCCTTTCCCTTTTTCCTTCCCCCTGTTTCTCTGCTGCGCCCAACACCTATCACATGGTGCCTTCTTCACTCGGATAGATAGGCAGCATGTGAGGCTCCTGGGGGTCGAACCCCCTGTTGAGCTCCCCTGCCTATCAGCTGAACTTGTCCCTGCGGGATCTGCCTCTTGCTGTTGCCAGCTTGCATGCAACACCTCGCATCTCACAGGTAGGCTGAGCTCTGCGGCTTCTGGTTCTCTCGTTCAGGGGTTTGTCTTTTGCTTTGCCTCACTTTGCCTCAGGTTATATACCTCTCTCTTAATGCTGACACTCCCCGCTCATCTTTGGAAACTCACAGGGCCCTGTGTCCGGAAAGCCCAAACATAACTCGTCCTTAACCAGGGACCACCACCACCCCCTGACCCCCAGTGACCCCTGGAGGGACCAAGGTTTGGGGCTTCGTTTTTGCTCTTAGCTTTGAGAGCTAGTGACAACCACTCCCTGGGCTTAGAAGCCCGCTCAGCCTTACTGAGGGGGGGGAGAAGGGTGAAGGTGGTGAGGGTCAGGCCAGGAGATCCAGCATGCACACGCCCTTGCCCAGAGCATCAGGGTGCCCCGGAATTGGTTATGTTATTTTCTACCTCTCTTAGGACAATGGAGGTGGGAGTAACCACTGGGTGCTGTTTAGAATTGCAAGGAGAAGGGAATTGTTCTCTCTTCGCTTTGCCTCACTTTGCCTTGGGTGGGTACCCGTCACTCCGAACACTCCCCTGCCATAGCTCAGCTCCCTCGGCCTCCAGGAGGCTGTACAAACAAACCAATTAGTCTTCTGCTGTTAGACAGCTTGGCCACAATATAAAGCCCAGTGACCTGTACAAAAAACTTGTGATCTACGATTCTCCAAAGTTTAAAAAAAATTTCTGTCACTGCACTGCCAAATGGCAAGACATGCCCTATATTCAGGCTTTTTCTCTTTGAGGACACGTCCCTCCCTCCCCTTCCCCCTCCCTCCCTCCCTCCCTCCCTCAACGATGCACATGGGCCCAAATACTCTTAGCTTGCCCCGCTCTGCCTTCTCGGATGCTCCAGTAAGACGCTCTGCTGGTTTCTTCAGTCTCCAATGCGAGTCATCACTAACGACAAACTTCGAGTCATGAGATGCCTGACACTAACTTCTGCATGGACATAAATCGTCATCCTGTCACCCTCCTTGCTCCCAAGATGATGCCCCCGTTCAGCAGGAAGCAGTCTAAGAGACTCAACGCCCCTTTTCATAACAACCAAAAGACGGGAAGGACAGGTTCAGGCCCTAGCGGGAATTGCTAAAATCATTGTGGTGGTCACCTAATATGGCCGATTCCCTTAAAACAAAAGCCTACGCTGCCAGGACCACCTCCTGCTCCCTCTCCAACTTAGCCCAGGACATAATTTACTTCCACCCTTCCCGCCGCCTCAGGGAAGACCCCAATCAGCTCCCTCAGGTATATCTAAACATCCCTCCAAACTCCACCCCTGACAAAAGGTCATAAAAGCCTCAGCCTCCTTTTGTCCAGTTCAGAGAATTTCTGTCCTCAAAGAAAAGAAAGTCCTTTCCCTTTTTCCTGTGCCTGTTTCTCTGCTGTACCAAGAACCTATCAGAAATAATTGTCTGGTGTGTGCCCAGGCGCAAGGGCCAAGCAGCTGCCCTGATGGAAGATGGAGCTGGGAAGTGTGCTCAGGGCCAGTCTGTGCCAACAAAGCAGAGGGCACAGACAGGACAAGGTGCCGGGTGACAGAAAAGTAAAAGCACTGCACGCAGGTCGCAGCACACAGAAATGGCCATTGCAGATACTCGAGGCTTTCGGAATTTCAGGGAATCTCTTAGTGTGGCTGACAGGCATGGCCGACAGGTTCTGAGGAAGCTTAGGGGCTCTCACCTCACACGCTTTTCCCAGAATTCACTCTGATCGCAATTAATGTATGACAGGTAGTGCCTATTTGTGGACCCTTATGAGGGGGGAGAAGGGTGAAGGTGGTGACGGCCAGGCCAGGAGATCCAGCATGCACGCGCCCTAGCCCAGAGCATCAGGGTGCCCCGGACCTGGTTATGTTATTTTATGTTATGTTACTGGTTATGTTATTGTCTCTCTCAGGACAACGGAAGCAGGAGTAGCCACCGGGTGCTGTTTAGAACTGCAAGGAGAGAAGAGAGTGACTCCCTCGGGTCTGGTTTCCACCTGTACCAGAACTGCCTCAGATCTCGCCCAGCCATGGGATAGGCCTGTGTGGAGTGAGGGGGTTTTTTGTGAGGGGGATTACTGGCAATGAGTCTCTCAGCATCATTTTTTAAAAAAAATAACTGAACATTCACCATTACGTGTCAACCACGAGGCGTCCAGGTGAGCCCAGCTGTGACCCACCCCAGGCTGCTTGCTAACCGGAAGCTCCTCCTGGCCAGCTGTGGCCACCAGGGCCTCCCACCTCTGTTGGAACTCCCCGAAGCCATCGCGAGCTCGAAGGCTGCTTTCTTGTGGATGGCGTGGGAGAGAAGCCAGAGCTTTCCTTGCCACGTCTGCGGCTCACGCAGGGGCTTGTATGCAGGGTGGATGTCTGCCTTCTTGCGCCTCCCGTCAGCGTGTGGTCACACATGAGCCATGCACCCACAGCCCTGGGAGGTGCTGAGGCGAAGCAGCTCGCTTTCCTCCCTCTGTGAGCCACCCGAGTCTCTAACGATGATTGCAGTGCAACCACCATGCTCATCCCCAGCATTCTGTGTGTGCATGACGACTCCAGAAGTACACGAACTGCACACCTCACCCAACCCCTCTCCACAGGGGCATGCTTCTCTCTGCCCTCACAAAGGATAAAATGGGTATCTGCATCAGCCCACGAAGAAACGCGGTCTTTGGGAGTGCAAATCTCCTTACACGCAGCTGGAAAGAGGTGAGACCAGAACTGGACTCTGAATTGTTCGGCCCACAGAGCAGACATGAGGAGGAAGTGGATGAAAAACCTGAAGAAGCACCTGTGCAGGGGACACGGGAGCCGGCTCTCCCAGGTCAGCCCGTCCCGTGCTCTGAAGAAGATCCAGGAAGCTGAGGCTCACAGGCGGGTCATGGAATAGAAGATGTAATTACTGAGTGACTGGCTGTTGAAACGAGCCGCAAACATTCTGGCTTCCTGTTCCCCCTCTTCTCTTCCTGTGTGACAGCGGCTCGCCGTCCATGCTCTGTGATGGCTCCTCAGGTCAATGTGGAGCAGCGCAGCGTCTTCCCAGTGCCACAGTCATCTGCTTCAGATGTTGGGCATCTGCATGAGATTTCATTTGAAGAGGAAAAAAAAAAAAAAAACCCACTCCGTTACTTAGGAAGTTTCTTTGAAGATTGTCGTCGTACACAACTGTTTAAACTTTTGATCATTTAGCTCTTTGGGCCATCTGGATAGTTTTCAGCCAAAGAATTTGCCATTAAGAGAAGTAAACACCGACCTAGACGGACATAGGGAGCTGGGGGCTTGGGCAATGGTCATGCAGAAGACAGAGGATTAGAAGTCCCAGGGACCTGGCCACCCAGGGCCAGAGGGGGTGGCCCACCAAGGTGCGGCGATGACAGACCCATGGGCCCACCTGGAGCACCTCAGGAGCTGTGCGCAGGCAGGAGCGCGGCAGGAAAGCTGGGCTCGGACCCCAGCATGTCTCACACTTATTCCGGGATGATACTACTAACAAGGGTCCAGAGTGGCTCATCCTCTTGGGAGCTGTGACACGCAACTGCCGACCGTGCAACTCAGAACCAGACCCCGTCAGCCGCGTGCTTCACTTTTCCCTGTCACCTCCGTAAACGTGCAGACGTACACACTCACCGCTGCCATTTGAGCGGACTTGGTCAGTCTCCTTAGCGCTACTCCCTGCAGGCGACGTTCTGGGTCTGGGAAACAAGTTAGGAAGGCGAACGGACCTAAGTTCACATCGGAGACACAGAGGACTCCTGCAGCTACGAGTGTGGCCATCCTAACCTGCTGCAGAAACACGACTGGCATTTTATTTATTTATTTATTTATTTATTTTCCACTGTTAAGGAAAACAGAGATTTCTTGGGAATCACTTAGGGGATGCGGAGATCATGGCAGAAGTACGAAGAGAAGCCGAGCAGAGGCACCGAACCCTGTCCTTTCCCCGACCCTTGTCTCCTGGAAACCAGAGCTAAATACATTACCTCTGAGAGGGGGCAAAGACCTTGAGAAGCATAATCCCGGATATGCTTGACCTGGGGTTGGATGCTCAGGTGGAGACTGGACTGCCCATGGGCTTTGCATGTTAAGTCCTGAGGACTGCACCCCTCGGCCGAAGTCACCCCCCTGGTAATTCCACCTCCCACAGCAGCGCCCCAGGAACTCCAGCTCACTGTCAGATTAGGCAGTGGTGGCAAGCTGGTAACCCGATAGCAGCGCGTTTTGTGTGTGGGAACTCGGTCTCTGGAAACGATTGAGGTTCCCAAGCTCTGGGCTTGTGCTCTGGGCGTGTCTCTCATGAAACACTCTTTATGTAAAAAACAGGCTAAAAAAATAAATAACCAGGACCGTTTGGGAGAGATTTTTCAATAGTGACATGAAACTGACCTATTTTTTTTTGAAAGGGTTTTCGCCAAAAAGGAGAAAAGTTGGTAATAACAAAAAATAACTCCCTTCTCTGCCTCATGTTTGTCCTCTTAGCTTGCTTGAATAGTTTCCTTTTGGGTCACCTTTTGAAAAATATGTAAATTTAAAAAGCAGTAAAATCATTTTCTCTCATCAGTGTAAAGATACTTTAAATGCTTGCTTTTTGAAGAAATCACTGAACTTGAGGGGAAATCACAATGTAGTGTTTCAGATTTAATCAGTGAAACTGGGCAGGGGAAAGTAACAGAAATTTAAGTTCCAGTTTTTATGCTTTTGATAAAAAAGTCCAATGACTGTGCATAGTTACTTGCCTTTTATAAATCTGGCTTTGAGAAAACATGAAAGAAAAGATGACAGGTAGAGCTCTGTGAGCGCCATCCATACAGCACCTGAGGGATGGGTAATGTCACTCAGGTCCTTCCCAGGTGCCCTCCTGCTGTGTCAGTGAAGACACACAGATGTTTCATGGGGATTTGGGTCCCGGAAGAGACCCCCACATGCCACTTGACCCACAACCAAGTGGAGAATGGAAGGGTGGGGAGATGAAGGGAGAGGAGGTCCTTGGAAGATCAAGGATAGGAGAAGAACTTAGGGCCGGCGGGATAGCTCAGTGGACTAAGTGCCTGCTTCAGCAAGCGCAGGGACCAGGGTTTGATCCCCGGTTCCGCAGGCCATGGACTGAGACCACGCATGGTGGCGCACGCCTGTAACCCCAGCACTGGGAAGGTGAAAACAGGAGGATCACTAAGAATCTGAGCTGTGTAGTGAAACCCTGTACCAAATACATAAATAGAAAGAAAAAGAGGAAGGAGAAGAACTCAGAGAACCATGTGCAATTGTACTGTCTTCCCTTGATACATGAAAGAGAATTTTAGCCATGGTTCACAAAAGCTACAACACATCTAAGAAGAATTTCAGACCATATAAAGGTGGGTGTGAGCCACAAAGTTTGGTCACGCGGATGGGCCACCGCAGGCTTCTTGCACAATGGCTGAGAATCTTCTCGATACTTCTCCTGCAGTCCCTGTGTCCACATGACTGACATGAGGCGGAGCATGAGGGCCAGTGCTAGCCCGAGGGCTGGTTGGTTTCCCACACAGCTCTCTGGGCAGTAAGTGGAAGCATGTGGTGCTACGCGACCCAGGGCCTGTCCTCCGAAGAGCTGGGGAGGACCTAGAGCTGCCACATGAAGGGTTTCCAGAGGGCCAGTTTTAGTCTGGAGGATGCTGCTTCACAGTTATTGGCTTTCCTTCTTTGTCTTCTTGAGACAGAGTCTCACTTTACAGATTAGGCTGGCCTTGAGTTCACTTTGTGGCCCAGATTGGTCTCGAATTTGCAGTGGTCCTCCTGCATCAGCCTGCGGAGTGCTGGGATTACAAGTGTGGACCACCATGCCCTGCTTCATAGTTATTGGCAAATAGCCTTCTCCTAAGAAAACATTCTGAAAGAAGCATGACCACTCAGGTGTACACAATTTTATAAAGGCTATTTACAAAAACACTTCATACTGTAAGATGGTAAGTCTGTTCCTGATATATTAGGATGTAATGATTTTCTTTTTTCCAATTTCTCACTTAGAGTCAGTGTCTCAATCTTTGTTATCACGCCCTGGGGTGTGCTTGTCTAAAACACTTTCTCCTGCAATACACTCTTGTTAGAAGGGGAGACCCCGGGAAGCAGCAGGAGTTCCCAGCAGCAGGACCAGCGTGGTCACCGACTGACACTGGCTTGACCATGGAAGGCTGGTGAGCCCTGAACGAACGCCGCAGGGACTGCGCACATTGCTACCGGCTTTGCATGTGTCATTTAGCAGACAATGTGCACTTACAGCCAGGGTGTGTTTATAGCCAGGGTTAATAGCCCCGGGTAGGAACCTAAACAGCAGTTCAAATGGTTAAATGTCTGCTGAATTGGGCAGCAAAACCTTGGAAATCATGTGTCTGGGAGGCGCTGAACCAGTAGTGTTCACTGTTGTTTCATCAGGCCCTTTGAGGAAAGGTGTCAGGCACTGAGAGGAAGCTCTCCAGGGCAGACCCGGCTTTCCTGGAGTTTCCTACCTGACCATCTCAACCCCAGAGAACCAAGGGTTCTGCTCTGCTGACAGCAATTGTTGGGACTCTCTGTGCAGCTGGGTCTTATACAAAAGCAATCCTGCCCTGGGACCTGATGGCCAAGACAGGCAGCAGCTGTGGGGTGGGGCCTGCTGTAGCCTTCGCTGAGGTCACTGGGAGGCAAACGGGGTCAGGCAGGGAGGGTGCATCTTGCAGAAAGCCCTGGCAATATTTACCAGAGGCAAAAGCTGCCACCAAGAGCAGGGTCGCCCTGGCAGTGGGGAGTCCACGACATGTGGATGCGGGCTGGTCAGCAGCAGGGCACCTCACTGTCCAGGTCCTGCGGAGGAAAGAGGTTCTCTAGGCAATTAGGAAAACCTCTGCCCTGTGGGAGCTGAAAAGAAGGGCTGGCTACTTGCTTGTGGCTGGGCTGCAAGGTTCTGGAGCTTGAAGCAGGTTTTTCACCTCTCTCCAAATATGATGGCATTCTGTGCGGCACCTCTGTCTTACAGAGAGCAGGCTTATAACCAGAAAGATGGCGTGGGCTGTGCCACATGATCATGCGCTGCAGGAGGAAGTCAGGCACAGTGTGGACCTGGACGTCCAGATTTCCAGGTGCAGGTGCTGCCCCTGGGTGACAAACAAGCTTGGTGACAGCTGAGGAGTCTGCTGCTGTCTCGTCTGTGCCACTCATTTGTCACATGTGCAGTGAATGTCTGAGGCAAGAAGGAGGATACTTCGTTAGGTCCCAGAAAGGTCCAAGAAGAATAAGGCACATCACGAGGGTGGCATTTTACATTGAACTTTTCCACTGTGGAACTGGGAAATATGACATCCAAATTAATCCTCCCTTGTGAGATCGGGAACATAGGACTTTTTATACATGCAGATTAAGTGCTGTATGAACACTTGAGAAGAGGTCAACTTTGGCCCCGAAAATCAAAGAATATGTGATAGGGAAGGAGGAGAATGAATGATGTGTCTTAGGAAAAAAACAAGCAGACTGCAGACAATGTAAAGTCAGTACAAAGGCTTGAGAACAAGAAAGAGTAGTTGGGTTTTGAACTAGCCAACGATCACTTTGAATTGCTGGGTCAAGGAGCAAGGTTCCTAAATGTGAAATCATGACGATTTTGTGGACTAATATAAGAGGTAAGAGTTCATGTGGCTTTAGGATCTAGGGACAGATTTTAGACAGGATGGCATGCTTACCTGTTGGCTTTAGAAAATAGTTATGATTCTAATCAAGCATGGGAAGTTAACGACAAGCCTCTGCCTCTACGCTCTAGAGAAATCGACTGCAAATGACATGGAGGAAACTTAAAAGTTATAAACTCCCAAGGCCAAAGACAGCTGCCGAGATGGCG